GACAAACCTGACAAGGAGCGCGACCATGGTCACAAGGGTATGGGAGGCACTCCCACAAAGTTGAATATCCAGCCTTGCTCCTGAATGTATAAGATGTGTCTTAGAGCGATGTACCTCAACTGCATACCCTCCCTTTTTTCCTTTCTGTACCCCAAATATGTTCTCTGATAAAATAAAAATTGTCAAATTGAAAAAAAAAAAAACCTGTATTCATTTCATGAGAAGGAAATCCCTTAATGGAATTAATTCCTGAAGCTGAGCATTTTCTCAAATTTCAGGATGATAATAGAGTATTTCTGTTACGTGACTAATGCCTATATGATTAGGGGTCATTTGTAGCTCTGACCCAAGATCAGAGAGCATTCGACTCTTCCTTCAAAACTCTGTTGTGGTATAGTTTACTATCACTTTCATATGTTAAAAAATTTATTTTGTGATGTTTATTGCGAAAGTTCCATTAAGAACAAACTGATTTTATTGTATAAGCCCTAGGAAACATTCGCAGTCTCTTTGAAGAGCTCGGGGGAACCCACAAGCCAATGACCCAAAGTCATTCCTAGCCTCCAGCCTATATCATGGATCATTACATGATTTCAAAATTAATTATTCTGCACTACTGTACTGTTTCTGTATTATAAAGGCAGCAGTAGTGCAAGCTCCTATTCTTTGTATATGAAGTAACTGTATATCTAATACAGGTTGCATTATGGATTACTATTAATTTTGCAGAATATGTGTGATTCCACCAGTCGGCAGCATGGTGACAACACAAGCCACCTTTACAAACAGAAAAAGGGTTTTGTTTAGCACAATAAATATTTATTATAAAATGAAAGTTTTACTTGTTTTTTCTTTAGATCAAAGTAATTTGTTCTAAAGAAAAACTAAAGAAATTGGAAACCCATTATTCAATTATAGAATTAGCTCAGCAACCCTTTCTTCAATTGTAATATAATATGTACCAAAAATAATTTTATAAAACCCCTTAATTCGATTCTGCCCATTATTGAAGGGGTCTTTGTTGTTGCTTCCTGGGATGAGGTTAGTATCATATGCCTCTTCTAACCATAGGGGACCCAAAAATGTCAAGGGATCACAAATTTGAGTTCCAGTTCAACAATTCCAAGAACTACTGCTTTTGATCCTGTGCATGCATACATAAACATGCACACAAAAACACTGCATAATTAAACATGAAGTACATTAATACACATTTCAATACACGTACATGGCTGCACATATTTATTTATTTATTATCTTACAAGACAAATGTAGAAATCGAAAAAGTTAAAAAAAATATCATTTTTTTATAATGCCAACTGTTACAATTAAACAGGACAATCAGTTGGAATTAGCAAATTTAATTGCAAATAAAACTAAGGACCGTCTGTACATTTTAATGTTTAATGTCTAAAGTGAGCAAATCCCTCTGGACTTATACTTGGTCAGTCCATGGAACTATAACCGAAAAGGAATCTAAGTGTAAAGAGTTTTACAATCTGCAAGCCATGCATATCATTCTGGGTTCATGTTAAATAAAAATGCATATTTTATAAATATTATTTGTAAGCGCTACTCTATAACATTCCTGATAATATATTAGAGGTCAAGGTTTATCCTTGAAAAATCTGTGTGTTTATCTGATGAAATAATTAAAGATTTAGATCTTCTGTTTGTGAATATGTGATTACCTTCTGATTACCTTTGTGATTAGAATTAAGAAAGGAATAAATGGTATGATTCCCCCTGAGATTCGAACCATTTAACATATACTGTATAATTTGCCAGCTTCTATGAATATGCAATTACCATAATATAATGTTAATTGTCTTTCATTTTAAATGACACTTGGTGCACCTTAAATGTTAGCCTTATTCTCTAAAAATAAATCACTAGAGAATAGAATAATTTGAATCTAAATAAAGGAATGATAGACAGACAGATAGACAGACAGATAGATACATAGACACAGACAGACAGACAGATAGATAGATAGTTACTCAGAGGAGTAACCAGAATCCACCGGGCCTCGGTACAAAAACTGTACTAGGGTTCCCCATGTGTCTCATTCTCCCTCCAGCCACTCCATGTGTCTCATTCCCCCCCTTGCCAGCCCTTCTACCAGCCCCTGCATACGTCTCATTCCCCCCCAAGTCCTTCCATGTTTCCTACACACACCCCAGCACTCCATGTGTCTCACCCAGTCCAAAGCACCCTCATACATTTGTGACAGACACACACACTCACTTACAGTGACAGACAGTGATTAAGGCTCTGCTGAGCTGAAATGTCACACTTATTTTTTGGTGAGGTGGGGAACCCACGAATAAAGTTAACTTCAATACCTTCATCCTGGAGTGCTGCCTGTGTTCCTCTTCTTTTGATACTGCATTGGTGGATTCAGCGGTGTCCATCCCTTACACGGAGTGCCTCCTTGGTGGAAGGCCAGCGCATTCACACGGAACTCGAGTGCAGGTTATACTGTTTCTGTCAGACACACAATGTTAGACAGACACACACGCACACACCATTGTCAGACAGACACACACACCACTGTCAGAAACACTTACACACTCTCACAATTAACTTTTTTTGAGGCCCTCCCAGCCTCCCTACTTTTGGGAGAGCTGGTGTTTGCCCTCTCTCTGGGGTCCAGTGTGGGGCTGTGTTGTAATCTGGCAGTTCCTCTCTCCTCCTGCGCGCTGTTTAGTATGCCTGGGCCGGAATTACATCATATTCTGGCTCCCAGCATCACAGACGGCGCGCGAGGGAGGTGAGTGGATCGGCCAGATCAGCCTCCCTTGTCTGCATCCTGTCCTCCCACCTCCTTGCTGTATATATTGGTAGAGTAGGCACCAGCCATCCAGGTAAGCAGGTGCCTACTCACTGGGATTGATGATTGATATTTTCATCTAAACAGGTCTTTTCTAATATCTGGGGTAAATGTGCTAGATTTTATGCACCTTTTAGCCCTAGTTAAGTGTGAAACACCTAAACTGATTTGTAGACATTGAGAAATTTAAGTTCTGATGAACAATTTTCGGGATAAGTTTGATTTTTTTTTTTTTGATTTGGCTCAACCCAATGCTGATTCAGGAATCAAATCTAAAACCAAAAAGGTGCAAAAATGAGCCAATCACTAACCCTATATTGTTATCTAGACTATTCGGCCATAGGGTTATTGGCTAAACAGTGATTTGGGATCTTTGCAGAGCTGGGCTTTTTTGATCTTAGGGAATACTTTCAC